GTTGTTTGGATGACGATTGATCCACAAATTCGTCATCATTTGGATGACGATTGATCAGCGAATTCGTCGTCATTTGGATGACGATTGATCGAAAAAATCAGTCTCCGCGATTTCAGTCTCCGCCATGTAGCATTTGTATCCATCGTCAACGCATGTTGACGGTCATCTATAAGTACCACTCCAGGAAAATCTTGTATGCGCCTTGAAGGGTGTCGTTTTCATTATAAATCCAAAAAACGTTTTCCATGCTCTGAGTGCAATTTCAGATTCCACCATGTAGCATTCGTGTCCATCGTCAACACGTGTGGACGGTCACCTATAAGTACCACTCCAGGAAAAATGAAGTTGGCCACTTTCGGGGACCCAAAAGTTCATCGTTATTGACGTCCATAACGATCACTAAAAGTGTACATAAAAGTCAATTGACATTGGTGCATGGCGTATTTCGTAAATCTGGCCACATGCCAAAAAAATCTTTGTGAAGAATTATTAATTTATTTTCGTAATAAAAGGTTTTTTTTTGTATTATTAATAAATTTACTAATACACAAATATACATAGATAAGTATATATAAAGGATGGTACATTTTTCCAGGTGTGATATTTGATGGATTTGAAGAATAAGTTTGTTCAGGACTTTTTTGCAAAACAATTTTTTTAGTCTTAAAATCCATATCTTCTTTATATGGTTTTTCATCAAAAGTGTCAGTACGTCTTCTAGATTCTTTTGAAATTTGAAAGTTGGTGTTTTGAGTTTTAGTATTCCATGGAATTGTTCCAACAGAACTGGTTTGAGCATAGGAAGAGACAGAGGAGGAGGAAGTGGAAGGTTGACTTGTGGTATTTGCTTCAGTATATTGAGATCGTTGCTTTCTCAATTCAGATATAGATGGTTTATTATTATTATTGACATTATTCATACCTCTTCTAGTAGTGGTGTCGATAAATTGACTTTTTGATGATGTGTTTGGTAAATCAGGAAATTGTGACCGAGAACTTTGTTCAAATCCATCATCCCAATGAGATTCTGGTGGTAATGGAATTTGTGGCCAATTATAAATTTCATTATTTAATGACAATGGTGGTGATTGATGATCATTACTATTTATAACTTTATTTTTTCCTTTAAGAGATGCTGACATTGATACTGGTAATGTTGTCATTGTTGGAGTTGATATTGTAGATGTTGGAAAAAAATATGGCGATGATTGATTTGTATTATCATTATTTAATAGAACAGCTGGTTTATTTATTTGTTCTGTGTTTTTTTTGATTCCATTATTTACATTTATAGAGTCAATTTCTTGTGAACGGGTTATTTTATATTTGCCAGTTTCAGGGTCCAGGATAGCAGGTATAAGCAAATATACGTTTTGATCTATGTGGGATTTAACCATCATTTTAAAATATCCATGAGTTTTCAACGGAATAAAATATAATTTGAAATGGACATCTTGTTGCGGATAATGTACAAGTGGAACTCTTTTTGGTCTGAAGTCAGGCCGAAGCTAGTATATATGTGAACATATATTTAAATACTATTGTTGAAATTTAAAAACTATGAATGTAGGAAAAGTTAAAAAATAATTACATAGATTTGTTCCAATGTCTTGAGTCTTTGAATAGCCTTTTCAATATCTTGACTTTTCCTACCTGTAACATGAATTTTCTATTCATAATAGAAATCAATGTATATTTATATTTATTTTAAAAAAAAAACAAAAAATACATTTAAAAATAAAAACATTCAACAAAA